CCCCCCCCCCCCCTCTCAGATTTCGTCTTGTGAATGGTTCATTCTACCTGTAATCTAATGTAATTATGTAATCTAGAGTCATTTCACTGGTTGCTTAACAAAGACAATGCATTGTTAATTTATTGAATGTACAGTTTTGATGACAGTGGCTTACTGTGTGTGTGTGTGGAATTGTGACGTTTTCGTTGAGGACACTGTGAGGTTGAACCTCTGGCACTGAAACCCTGTTAAACCTGAACCTACAAAGTGCTGTTAACAACAAATATGCATAAAAACACACAAACTCTCAGTGATCACCGTCGCTGTTAACGTAGCCGGAGGTGGCCGATCTGCATCCAGACAGGGTTCTTTTAAAACCTCAATCTGACAGCTGTTCTCTTATTTATTTGTACTGTTGAACATACTGAGTCATCGTAGACAGTTACTGCTGCTTTTAAGGATTGTAATGTGACAGGATTGTAATTTATATAACACTTCTACAACTGTTTTATTTACGTTTTGCATCTTGTTTTAAAGACACATTGTTGTGTTGGCCCTTAAATCACAGTGATGGTTAGTTTCATTATGGAAATCTTAACATTAATACAGGTGAACCTGAAATCAAGTGGCAGTGTTTGATTTTTCCTTATTTCCGTATATCTGTGTCTTCTTTAGGACTACATACAATACAAATATGACACTTTTCAACACAAGGTTTAAATGATTATTCTGGGTCCTTACAACTTATATATACATTTAGCTCTCATTCTTATAGGTATTAATAACGTATTTATGTTATTTGTATATGGACAATTATATATGTGGACCAATGCCACATACTACAGAATTTATAGCTATTTATAGCCCCAAAATACAGACACTTAAAGGTGCAGTATGCAATTGTGGAGAAAGACATACAAGCACGCAAACACAACAGCAAAAACACAACGTTGTTTTTTGCAATTGTTTTTACAAAATTAGCATGCTTGTAGGTTCTGTAGCTAACAAGGAAGGTAACATTAGCAAACCTGCATTTTTACATCTTCGTGGCTTTAAAAGCCTTTGCAAAAATGGATAATAAAAAGGACAAATACCATGATATAGAGTAAACAACGACAGAATGTAATGTAACTAATGTTAGCTAGGTTGTGGGTCAGCAAAGCTGCCCAGCTAACATACAGAGAGAACAAGACAGCAATACTCACAACTCTCCTGCTACCATAGCTAACATCACAACAACAGCATATCTTGGCAAACTAGAAAGTAAGCTGAATGTCCGTGGACAAGTGGTTTAACGTGACCTGACACACAAATCACGGCTGAAATAAGGCTGTGGCACTTTTTTCCATGTATAGAGCCAGAGCTGTGTACAAACACTACATTTATTTTCACCACATGCACAGGACAGACAGTTAGCAGACTGTGAGGAGTTATTTGCTGAATTTGACAAAGCTATATTGGATTAGAATCACAGACCCCACCTTTACATTAATTTTAAACCAAAGACTTTGTTGTAGTTCTTAGATGCCAGCAATTAATTTGGTAAAGTTTAAAACACCCATGTTGAAATAAACTTGAATTGTCCTTTAGTGCCCCGGAAAACTTCTTATTGTGTTTGAGCAAGTGTACTTTAAAGGCAGTGCTATTATTTAAGTGCAGTTACATGTATTAATCCAGCAGATGGCGGTCCTGTTACTTTAAAAGGGAGCTCACGTATTGTTACTGTCAGGTGAAATCTTCATATGGTGAAATGTTGTCATCCTTGAACTGAATTAGTTAGAGTTTGCAGATTTTTTTTCACTTGTGATGACAGGTGACAAATTAAAGGAATAGTTTGACATTATGGGAAGTCGATACTACTCTCATGTCTGTGCAATAAAAGAATACTACGTTGATTAGCATTAGCATTGCAGTGCTATAATATTGTCAAACTCACAATGTACAATAAAAAAAATACCAAAATCAATGTAGCAGAATCAGATATATTGTTTTCCTTTTTCCACACATTCTTCACTGTCCTGGCACCTACATTACCCACAATGCAATACAATTTCATATATGTAGTAGCACTTCCAAAGATGTGTAGACAAACTTTGATGTGTAAAATCAGAGAATAGAGTTTGAGCCAGGAGGCTATTAGCTTTACTTTGCATTAAGACTGAAAGCTTGGGCTAGCCTGGCTCTTTATAAAAGTCTGTAACTCCTTAAAGCCAAATTTTTTCCATTTCCATTTTATAGATTAAAGAAATTAGATATGTGTTCATTAGTGAGCCTTAGGGGTGTTGGTAAGCTTATTTTTATGCTACGCTAAGCTAATTGCCTTCTGGTTCATACTAATCGCACAGACATGGCAGTGGGATTCATCTTCTCTTCAAACTCTCAGCAAAAAATCAAAACAGCATACTCACCAACATGGCAAACTATTCCTTTAAAGGAATAGAAAGGGGAAAAAACGTAGTGGCGAGACATAATAAATGTAGATGCAGGGTGGAAAGGGTTGCTGGACTGAATAGATGAGAATGAAAACAATATGAGCCATGGCTTTATAGTTACTAGATCTAAGCCCAATTGAACAGCTATGGGAGATTTTGGAACAGCATGTAAGGTGGTGCTCTCCATCACCATCATCAACATTTAATGAGGGAATATTTTTTTAAAGGAATTGCATTCATCCACCCAGAAACTTGAAGCCAAAGAACACTAAAGCTGTTCTGCAGGCACATGGTGGCCCAACACCTTAAAAAGACACTTCTGTGATGTGCTTTAATTTGCCAGCCATCTGTATGGAGAAGGTCATTGCAGAAGGTGCTGTAGTACTCTAGTATTTTCTTATTTGGAAAGGCCTCATACTGTTCATTTAGTTTATATGACTATAGATGGCGCTCATCAGTCACTTGCAAAAGGAGATTACCATGTGTGGAGTTGCACACTCACAGTAGGACAAAGTGTGAACTGGTCCGGTGGTGTAAATGTCACCTGATGATCTCGCCACTCTTCCACAAACTTCCACATGCACACACTGGCTCCAGGGCCTTACGGAATTATGGGTAAATCAATGTTGCTTCTGTCTGGCTGTCTTGTTGTCGTTGGCAACCAGGATGTCATGTTAAACTGCTCAGACAGTGAGCCACTGAGCTGCAGTGGGCAGGTCGTACCCACACAGGAAGTGTTTAAAAGCAGGGCAGGACGTTGGCTCAGCAGCCCCCGTGTTTGTCCTGAAGATGATACAGTCAGTGAGGTGCTGGCACATGTAGCAAACATTTACTAATGGTAAAGCTGCTGCTTCACTACATAGTAGTTTGGCCTTAATTTTATAGGGGAAAAAAATCATTTTCTGGTTATATTTTTAAACTATTTTACGTTTACAACATTCTTTGTGTGTAAGAGTTGTTCTTTAAAACTTCTCTTAAGATAATTTAATAAACACATTAAAGTTAGACTCATGTCGATAAGTCGAAGCCTTTTTCTATGTCATAAGTCAGTGGAGCAGTTCTTGTAGTTATTTACATTGCCTAGAAAACCCAATCCAGCTGTCCTGTCCATCAGGCCCCGCAGCCGATGCTCCAGCCAGAGCCTGGACTGTGAAATTAGCTAATCTCCTCACAGGAAACCCAGCAGGAGCAGCTGTTGGACTGGAAACAAACTGGAAATGAAGCAGCCGAGAGGAACAGGTCAGCAGTAAGAAGTCCAGCCAAGGGAGAAAAATGGCCTCAGTGATATAAGATTGGAATCTATTGTTTCTGCTGAGTGTCCTGTAATGTTGTGATCTCGAGTTTTTATATTAACCTGCAGCTGCACCTTGTCGGACCCTGCACCTGATGTGTGAGAAAGAGAAATGTACTGTGCAATAACTTGGATGGTTATAGCCCACACATAATCTCAGTGTGTGACATTTTGATGGCAGTTTGCCTAGATACAGAAGTGATACATTTTGAACACTAAATCACATAATAACTGCACAATGATAAAGTGCTCAAGGGGTTGTTCATGAGGTTTATTTTACCCTCAAGGACTGTAAATATGTCATTTAGAGTAGGGAAATATGGGAAATATGCTTATTTGCATTCTTGGCCAGAGTGAGATGAGAAGATTGATACTACTCACGTCTGTTCATTAAATACGATGATACAAGGAGACGGTTTTTATTAGCTAGCATAAAGACCAGAAACAAGGTTTAACAGCTTTGGCTCATCCAAAGGTAAATTAGTTTGCCTATCAGCACCTCTAAAGCCTGCTAATGAACACATTATATCCTGTTTGTTCAATTTGTACAAAAAGCCCCCAAAGTTGTGGTTCCACAGGGGTTATGACAAGACTCTATGTACTTCGGCTGAAAGACAACCTAGCACAGTTATGAGATGTCTGTGTTACTGAACATGTTAATTAGTGTGCTTAAAGCAGCTATAATCAATATTTTAATATTAACAATGTATCAAATGACAATGTGAAAACAGTTTTCAGAGAATTATCACCAGAATCTGCAGCTCCCCTCGGCTTTATAGTGAGTTGAAGTTCACTGTTTAGCTGTCCGAATGCAACCTTACTGTTTTAGTTCACGCTCACCAATCTCATAGTGCTAACAGAGCTAAAAGGAGGTGACCAGGTCAGGTGGCCAGAAACACGATACACAATGATAATGTTTGATGTGTAACAAGCACCTGTTCAACTTAAACAGTGATGATATGTCATTGATGTGTACACAACGTGTTACTGCTGCACCCAAGTGTCCAAAAAATCAGGTATGACTTAAGATTTATTAGCTCATCAGTGGGGCTTTTTTTTTACCTTTGGACAGAGATTCTAGCTTTTATGCTAAGTCAAGCTAATGGCCAGCTGGCAGCAATATTTAGCATACAGACATGGGATCATATGAATCTCTCCTCTAACTCTCGCTGAGTAACTGTACATTACTTAGAAGAAGACACACTGTCTCGGAAGAGAAATTTTTTTCTATTGTCTCTGACTTATCTTGGATTCGATATTTGCACTCAGAATTGTCTCAGACTTGGCCATTGGTCTTGCCAAATATTGTAGTTAGTCTCAACTGAGTCCAGAAATATATTGTTTTTTTTTCTGAAGTAACTTCCTCCTTCAAAATACAACCATTGATGATGTGTGCGTTTTCAGAAAACAGGTATTGATTTAATTCAAAATACATCTAGAACAGGTATTGACATTGGCTTACCAGGCCGCCAATCAATGTCTCTTGCAATCGTATGCCTGGATGCCAAACCTCATCTCACTGGCAGTGGCAAAAGCATTCGTCTTGTTCTTGACTCTGTTTCTCTCATTTGGACTTGGTCTTGACTCAGTTCCGACTAGTCCTGGCCTTGGACTCAACAAAGGTGGGCTTTTTTTTACAGCACTGTTAAAAAATCCTTACAGAATAATGCAGAACCTTCACATAAAAAGAAAAAAAAATGAAACACCTTCAGTTTTAATCAGAGTCTACTTTGGATCACATTGAGGGTGAAGGTAAAGAAACTATTTCACTCAGCCAGGTTAAGAGTGGAAAAACTTTCATTAAACCTGAAACTCCCTGTCTTAAAAGGTGCTACTCGCATACCAACATTTCATTAGTGTGGAGTTTTAATGGACCATTTTAGTGTCCAGTGCATGTTTAAATGTCATTTCTCCGTCCTTTTCACTTAAAAAAGAGTCAAAACACTGAATCTTTGTTAAGATATTTTTCCATTAAAATGAACAAATGTAATATATAGATGCACAAAATAAGCCGTTTGAAGCTTTGGCCAAAAAAGATCAGCACTGTCCTTTAGAAATCCATATTGGTCAAAACCATAGGAATTAACTCTTGAGTCATCAAATCTCCAAACATTGTCTTATAAATTCTGTGCCAATCTGCGTAGTCCTGTTTTAGTCCATATGGCCAAACATTTGAAGGGTTTCCTCCTCTTCAAGGCCTGGTTAGTGTTGTGTAGATAGGCTGCTCCCAGCCGGAGGGAGGACTGTGTGGAGGTGGTGCCAAGGCCAGGCTGTTGATAAGCGGTGTGGTGTAAGGCCTGCGAGAGGAGTGAAAGTACGGGTACTGATACAGATGGGCAGGGTACCCAGAGAACGCGCTGTAGAAACTGGAACTTTGAAGGTCAGTGTAGTCAGATTGGTTGGTGGAAGATGAGGAGGAAGTGGAGGAAGGGCAGATGCCAGAACCGAGAGAGGTGTACTCAGGTTGTGGCGGTGGAGGTGTGGAGGTGCAGGAGCTGCTGTAGTGACCTGGGCTCATCTGCTCAGTTTTGATCTGAGGTTTTAGGCTGGTGTCCTCGTGGAGCCCATGTGGGTCACGACTGGAAGAGGATGGTGGCATTCCTGTGGAAGTCCCACTTTTAGGTGTCCAGGTGGAAAGGCTGTGGGAGTGAGTGTGGATGTTAGGTAGGGTGAAGGATCCAGAAGGGTTGTTATGTCCGTGGCTGGTATCTGGTGGGGTTAGAACAGTGGAGCTGTGGCTGTTGGGAGGGAGGTACTGATCAAATTCATGGACGTCAAATCCGTCAATGGTGCTGATGACGTCAGTGCTGAGCTCTGAGATGTCCACATTACTGAAGTCGATGTTCTGGCGGGTGGTGGGAGGAACAGTGGGAGGAACGGAACCAGCACTGCTGTCCACATGTTTGTTGCCTGTGTGAAGGTCGGTTTTAGGGGTAGTGGGAGGTGTTGGAGGTCCATGAGACTGACCTGGAAACCAAAACCAAGGAAACACTAATCAACATATTTTCATGCTGAAGCAGAAAAGGTGAAATAGGTCGATTGTAACATTGCTCTTATAAAAAGTGTATTCAAATTTAATATCTGGATGGTATCAGTCATCTCACCGGTCCTGTCTGGATGGTAATGATGGTGCACCTCCCCTACGCCAGTCAACCTAGCCACCCCTGGTTCTGTCTTATACAAGCCCTGTTGATGTTGCTGCTGGACTAGTCCGGGCCTACAGTCCCCCTGTCCCAGTTTGGTGTTCTTACGTCTCCGAGGCTGGTACTTGTAGTCTGGGTAGTCTTTCTTGTGCTGCAGCCTCAGTCTTTCTGCCTCCTCAATGAAAGGACGCTTTTCTGTTTCAGAGAGAAGTCTGAGGAAAAGAGGAATGAATTGTTGAATAATTGAAAGTCCTTTTAAATCAATATATTATACATAATAAATATATTTATACATATATTTACTACTTTACTACCAAATAAAAGAGTTTATAAATGGTTATGAAACAGTCTCATTTTAATCATGATGTCTCTATAAAGTCTCACGCTGAGGTCACAAAAACATAACGATTTCTATATTCAAGTGATTATATACTACTGAAAACACATTTTATGAATATTATATTTCATTTCTGCCAAAAGAGCATCCTAAATGTTACACGTTGGACCTTTAAGGATGAATGGACAGATGTTGCGAGTTCCTGAGCTAAAGCAGCTCTGTTCCTGGACAAACCAAAGACTCCCAGAGCATCCGTCAGCTTTTGGAAGTCATGTCACCTCTTTCCTTTTCTCCAGCCATGGCCACAGCAGCTGAAGGCCTAATTTTTCCAGAAAACTGTGTTGCTTGTGAGATCTTCTGGCTCCCCAAATTGGAAATTTGGCCAGGAATCTATTTGCATGCAGTGCAGGACTCAGACTGTCTGAGAGTCATTGGTGAAAAAAATATAAGGGACACCAGCTACAGATGTTGGGGCACCAGCACACAGAAAGTTTTGACTATTTAGAGGCCAAACAGTTTTCTAACAAGTAGGACAGCCTGAATGGCACTGCATCACATTGTGAAGACTGGAACCAAGAGGGCACTTCCTCATAATGATCTCGACAGTAAGATACTTCTTACATGGTAGTCCAACAATATAACATAGTATAACATACAGGGGTTATTCTATGTAGTACTGTAATTAAAGTAAATTTGTTAAAAATGCTCACATACCTTTACTTAAGTGACATTTTAACTGCAGGACTTTACTTGTTATGGAGAATCTTTATATTTTTACCTTTACTTAGGAGGTGAATACTGGCTGCATTTTAAATTTAGTTAGATTGCATTCCAGTAGAAATTGAGCTGACCGACAGAGAATATCAGTTTGGCTATGTCTTTACTTTGGTCTTTTATTAAACAGTGTTTTTGTATTGCACATGCAGGGAAAAAAACACAATTGACACTCTGTAATTCTGCATCACTTATTTACCCTTTGCAAGTATTAACCCATCAATTTTTTTTTTACTTGTATGCTACATTTAAGCGCATTAATGACCTTCATTCAATAACTTAAGTAATACTGTTTCATTGCATGTCAGAAGAGTTGTCACATTTTCAAAAAGGTAAAACAGAGAAACCAAGAATTTGGCTTGGAAACACAAACAGTGGTGGTCTGGACAAACTGCTCACTAATTTTGAGACTCTATTGAGCTCTGTTACCCACCGCCACAGTTTGCCCAGAGTCTTGCTGAGCTCAGCGTTGTGCAGATGAGGATACTGGTCCGCCAGTTTCTTCCGCGCCGCTTGCGCCCAAACCATGAACGCGTTCATCGGCCGTTTCACATGCGGTTTGCTCTTCAGCCCTCTCTCCCCTTGAGAGGGCATGGGTACCAGCGACCAGTCATAACCTTTCAGCACCTGAGACACTGCGTCGCGGATGCAGGCAGGGAAGCGTTCATCCTCCATGCAGCTCTCCGGTTTGTGCGTAAAGCCGGGCTGGCGCGCTGCCTCCTGCGCGTCGGAGCCTGCCGGAGAGGTCGGGGACTCTGAATCAGATCCATGATGGGACATGGAGCTGTCGCTGCCTGAGGGGCTGTGCGGATGGTCTGTCAACTTGTTCTCTTCTGTCATTCTTGGTTGATATAAAGTTGCTGGATGGTCTCGTGTCTCCGGAGAACTGTGCAAGAGCGTAAATGCGCACGCCTCCGTAGGAAGACTGACCGAACCCTAAATCAGGTAAAATCCCAAATTTCTTGTCCTGAACTTTCCATTCCTTTACACAACCTCTTCCACAGCCAGACAACGTTTGAGCAGCCTCTATTTTCTTTTTAGTTCTTTAACTCTCCACCCCTCGTGTCCCATTGGCTTTGCAAAGTTTTACAAGCAGAGTTCCTCCTAGTTCGACATAACGCAGCAGCAGGAGGCAAATCATTGTTAATAGTCAATATTACAGTTATAATTTAAATGTAATGATGTTTTGGAGTCTACCAATGGCTGCATATGATCTGTCCAAGTTCAGAGTCAGACTTATTTCAATGTCATACTATTTCCGGACATAATTCTACCTCACTACATTTCAGAGACACTTTTTAATATGAAAAAGACGAGCTCACGATGTATCACACTGTTATCTAAACTGCCGACCAGTATAAATAAGTACTTCAAGTCAGCGCCACCGTGTGCACAAATGAATGTATAATAAATCATAATCCAATCATTTAAATAATATTAATAAAAGTATTAATACATTAATAAAAGTCTGTCGTATTATTATTATTATTATTATTATTTTATTAATAATAATAATAATAATAGTAGTAGTAGTATTACCACAGACCTATATGTCCCAAATAAGACAGTGATTCTACTGTTTTTTATTCTTATTTATATTCTGTTATGATTTTAATTCTAAACTAACAATAATAATAACAACAACAACAACAATAATAATAATAATAATAATAATAATAATGCACTTCCGCGTCTGTGTGTTCACGTGACCGTGAAGCCCGTGAACATGGCGGCCACCAGTGACAGTTCAGGCAGCTCTGTGAGGAAGAGACGAGTGGACAGCAGTAAGACAGGGACAGGGGGCGCAGACAGCAGTAAGACAGGGACAGGGGGCGCAGACAGCAGTGGGGGACATGGAGCAGAGACAGAGAGGACAGCTCGGGCGGTACACACCGGGACTTACTGGCTCACTCGCATCGTGCTGCTGCGCTCCGTCGCCTTTATTTACCGTAAGCATGTTGACGTTCAGCGCTCAGGCACTCTCACTGACTTCAGATCAGATGTGCAGTCATTATTGTGGTTGTAGCCTTTTTTGTCTTTAAAAACTACAAAATACAAACACCTTTTTAAGTGAGCTAATGTTCAGGTTCTTTAAGTTGGTGTAGCTGTTACTGGAGGAAGAGCTGCCTTTATTTATGTACAGGTTATTGTCCTTTAGTGACAGGTCTTTTATTGAGGTGAAGTAGTAATACCTCAGTGTAAAAGTTTTGCTTTTGAATTGAACTGAAGTAGCAGTACAGAACTATTGGCAGACAACTGTATATACAGAGTACCAGAGTGAAAGTACTCATTAAGGAGCAGAGGGTTATCATATAGTGTTGGATTACTAATCCCAATCACCATGTTGATGTAGTCTCTAGTGGAGGTGGAGGGAAGGTTTACAGATTTATGTTAGCGTTCCTCCACCTCCTCGTTCCTCCTAAAACCTGGAACTGAGTTAGCACTTGAACACTTCCGGTTCCCTCTCCTCAAAGTCTTTGGCGACACATCATACATCATATACATCAGCAATTAACCAACATGTGGATTTTGTCCTGAAACGAGCGGTTAAATGAGACGACACAGGTTGTCGGGGACATTAAATGTCAGCCTGGCGAACATAGAGACTCGTGTTCTCACTAGTCCACCTTTACATTCACATTGTGTTCGTACTTTCCAGCTTGTAGATTTTAGTTACATGATTTAATTATCAGTAGTAGAAGATGATCTTGCTTAACAAAACGTGTTAGTGTCATAAAACTTTGTTTACCACAGAGCACATTTTCTGCAATAACAAAACAACCCAATGTGAAATCCCTTTGGTTTTTGGATGAAGGGACCAGGTTGATGTTAACTTCCGGGTTGGCTTACAAAAATAGGTCATCCCCGCTCTATTCCTGAGCTCCCTGACCACAATGTCAGTGCAAATGAACTTGAACTCTACTCACAATGACTTTATCCCACCTGGTCAGGAACCTTGTCTCACCTTCCTGTTTCCATAACCTGGATGGAAGAGTTTCACTGTTTTGTATGGGGCACACCATGGTCTCAGACTTTCTGTAGCTGATCCTTTTACTGCATCACATCTGGCTCACTCACTCAGCAGCAAATAGTTCACAACCACCCACAAAAAGCAGCAACTTTTCATTTTAAAATGTGTCTTTTTTTTTGTCTCCTCTCTTTTGTAGTCGTGGCGTTCAGCGTTGCTTACAACCAGAACAAGCAGCTGATAGGCGAGCGAGGCCTGATGCCCTGCAAGAACTTCCTCAACAGCGTTAAGCGCTATGTCGGGGGAAAGATAGGCTCGGCCGCCTTCGCGTACACGCCCTCCATCCTCTGGTTGTTAGACTGGAGCGACATGGACGCCAACCTGGATGCCATTGCCCTGGTTGGGATGGCGCTGTCTGCGTTTGTCCTGGTGACGGGAATGGCCAACATGGTGATCATGGTTACGCTGTGGGTGCTTTACCACTCCCTGGTCAACGTGGGGCAGCTGTGGTGAGTCTGGGATATACACATATAAAAATACTTATTTAAAACTGTGATTATATGTAAATGACAGTGAGCTCTGTGTTATATACAGTTTTTCAAAATAAAACAATTAGTTTCATATTCAGTTTTTAAAATCCTACTGTCCTTCTGCTTCTATTCCCTCATAACATAGTAGTTGTTTTAAGCTGCACAATCAGTATTTTATACATTAACAAACATGAAAGGGATTGCTCAAAGTTACAAACAGATAAAGCCTTATCACCCAACAGTTTTTCTCAGCTCTTTGGAGCCTTTTAGTCTATTTTGGATCATTGTTTTGGTTTAGAGGCCCGTGATGCACTGACCGCCCAGCACCAAACCGCAGGCAAAGTCAGCAACTAGCTGGCGAATGTGGCCAGGGCCAGGTACTTTTCTCAGGAGTTGGTGGAGGCCAAAAGGAGAGCTAAAAGAGAGTAGATATGGACTGAAGCAGAAACACGACTCCAGATGAATTCTTATTCAGTCTCTGTGTCTGCTGGATGTGTAAACAGGTATTTTAGGGGCGAAAATTTGAAGTATTATTGCTTTAAATTAGGGAAATAATCTCCAGTTTCGTCCAATTTAATTAATTTGAGCTATGTTATTCTAGTCCCTTAGTTATTCCATCACAGACTAGGGATAATGAATTCAAAATAAATTATTATAATTTTTTGTCATTATTATTAGTATTATGAACTGATAACTTATTGGCCCGATAATTATTGTTGGAGTTTTCTGTCCACATTGAACATGCTAGAAAATGTCATCATTACATTGAAAGTAGTAAATAAATTTCTTTAATTGCCATAAATAAAGGACTGGTTTAACATACCGACTTTATAAAGGTTATAAAATATCAGTGTTGTACTTTCAGCTTGTTCTGCAGCCACTGCATGTAAAGAAGAAATAAACAGAGAAATTTTCGCTGTTTCATTACAACCTCTTAGTTTAAATATTAAAGATGCATCAATTTCTTATATCTCTGCCCTTTTTATTTTCTTCTCTTTCCAGGTATTCCTTCGGTAAGTGAACCAAACACCAAGGGCCTCGCAGTTTTCAGCATTAACACAAACTCCAGGACTGCTTCCTTTGTTCCTCCACAGCATTTTGTGTGAGACCGCAGGTTTGGATGTTATTTTAGTTTGTTTATGGGCAAACTAACGTGGTAAAGTCCTTCAAACAAAAGACATATCTATCCAAGTATGATTCTATAGGGTATTGATCTCAATTAGAAGAATTAGAAGAAACCCTCATTGTAGAGTCATGGATCATAACCATAATACAGTACAATCACTGCACATAAATCTACTTTAATGCATATACTTCTCACTGCATCTTTCTTACGATTGTTTCCCAAATTGTTTACAGCCAGTTATTGGGTTAAAACACACTCACTGACAGAGTTGAGGTTTACTGACGTACAGTACATTGCCTCCTTAATGGGTGAACCCAGTAATGAAGCTAATAGTAAAGAGGGAAGACAGAGAGGAAAGAAATAAGACGGTATGAATAGGAGGTTGCATGCAGGGCTCCGGCCCAGATAAGTGGCGAGGTCAGTGGCAGCTCTGTGATTGGTTAATGACACTTTGTAGTCAGAGACGCCAGGCCAATGTCTGTGGTTGGGAGTTGTGGCTTCCATTTCTCTTTTTTAAAGAGAATTTTCTCTCACTCTCACTGTCTCTCCTCACTCCCTATTTTCTTTTGGACTCGCTGTCACCCTATAGCTGACAATGCAGCTTTAAGCCTGCAGACTAGGCTCCTCCGATTGTCTAGACTGCAGACCAGAGGCCATGGGTTGTTGGTGTTAGGAGCATTAGTCTCTGGAATAGCACGTCTGGCAGACATTGTGCAGTGCTTTTTGAAATGTACTGCTCTAAAATTACATTTTTAAAAGGTAAATCTATTATTGATGAATCATATTCTCAACTATTGGGTTGCCACGAAATATCAGCAGACATTCAAGGTCCCCAGAGGATGAAACATACTGGCTTAAACGATTCTCTGACTTTTTTTTGTGTGGAATATCTCAACATCTATAAGATGTTTATACACTATACAGACATTCATGGTTTCTACAGCTTCTGTCCTTCTGACTTTGGTTGCTCCTTCACTGTACCTGTAGCACCACAATGAGGTTGACATTTGTCGTTTTAAATGAGACGTTTCAGAAACTGTTGTGTGAATTGGCATGAAACTTAGTACATACATTCATGCAGGTCGTTCAGGATGAATAGTAACTTTTTGTTTTATAGCACGGTTCGTGCTAATTGGCAAATGCTGGCCTGCTTACATGCTAAACTAACATAACGAACATGGTAATCATTATACCTGCTAAACATCAGCATGATAGCACTGACACTGTAAGCATGTTAGCATACTGATATTA